CTCAGCGCGTTGTGCTCAACAGGTTCCGTTTGACCGAATAGAAATATTTGCTGCAATGTGCTGAAATAAGTTCTTTCCAACATTTTGTCATATCTCACGAACTATTGGACCAATCGAGCTAAAAGTCAGCGCGTTGTGTTCAGCAGGTCGCGTTTGACCGAATAGCACTATTTTCTGCAATGTGCAATAGTAAATTTTTTCCAACATTTTGTCATATCTCAGGAACTATTGGACCAATCGAGCTAAAATTCAGCGCGTTGTGCTCAGCAGGTTCCGTTTGATCGAATAGCACTATTTGCTGCAATGTGCAAAAATAAATTTTTTCCAACATTTTGTCATATCTCCCGAACTATTGGACCAATCGAGCTGAAACTCAGCGCGTTGTGCTAAGCAGGTTGCGTTTGACCGAATAGCGCTGTTATTCTCGAATTTGCCATAATAAGTTTTTTCAACATTTTGTCAAATCTCACGAACTATTGGACCAATCGAGCTGAAACTCAGCGCGTTGTGCTCAACAGGTTGCGTTTGACCGAATAGCACTATTTGCTGCAATGTCCAAAAATAAATTTTTTCCGACATTTTGTCATATCTCACGAACTATTGGACCAATCGAGCTAAAACCACTGAGCTATAATATTACTGGAGGACCTGCTCCTATCTTCCCGCCAGTCATTGAAGTGAAGCCAAAAACATGGCGGATCTTACGCCATTGCCATGACTACTGGTTCTTATTTCTCATGGTAATCACCACTGACCAACCGCGATCCTACGCTTTAAACAATATCTTTCACCCCCCTGGTTTTTTTCACAAATATGAAATATTTTGGTTTTAATAGTTTGTCTTTGAACTGAAAATCTTGATATTTTTCATCAATTTCGTCTGTTTTACAAAGTCAGGGAAGACGGTGCATTTTTGCTGTGCCTGTTATGGCTCTAAAAGGAGAATATTACCGGTAAGATTCCCGATTTTTTTACTTTCTCGCTTGGCAACGTTGCCATATATCTTATAAACACTCGTGGATATATGTCAAAACCTGATGCTATATTAAAACTGCGAGTATTACTAGTTACAGCAGTTTTTTCATTTCTACATTGACATTCTAGTTTTAAGCAAGTTTTCCTGGACAAACTCTTTCCTGTCTTGTTTTATTAAACATTTAAACTCATTTCTTTGGTTTCATGCTTCGGTTTGTGTTTTGTTTTTAAAATTGTTTATTGATTTAGGTTTTGAAGTGCTAGTTTTGCCAGGTTTTTGAAATAGCAGCTATCTACTGTGTAGCTTTGTATTTTATACAGGACGTGTAGGGTGTGAGTGCACAGCCAACCTTTCCAGCACTCTCCAAAAGTTCAGCATCAAGCAGTTTATATTATTTAACCCATTGAGGGCCAGAACGTTTAACTATAGACACATGAGCAGATAGCCTGATTAATCCATTGAGGGCCAGCACTCTTCCCTTGATGAGTAAAATAACCTGGCATTTGACAGAGTGAAATAATAAAGTAGGGTGCATCAGGACACAATGCGACTTACTGGGTTAAACCTGATTTTTATGATCTGTAGCACTACCCACATTGTATTATTAACCCTTTAAGTGGCAATGTGCCCAAGATGCACCCTACATTATTATTTTACTCTATCTAACGCTGGACAATTTTACTTGTTACGGGGAAGATGCTACCACTCAACATATTTGGGTTAATACCGATCTTTGATTTAAATAGCTGGAATTACCCAATGCATGCCATTTGCTACTGTAAAATTGTAAATATGCCGGATTTTTCTTATCTAGGCACTGATACTGAAATGTGAAAAAGAAAGCCGCCTGAGGTCTTAAATGTTCGAATAGCAAGAGTGGTGTTGTAGACATCAGACATGTAGTGGTGCACCATATGTTAAAATGAAATATTGTCCAACTTACAAAAGTAAGAGCCCTGGCCAGAATTCCTGCCCTGAACTGGAAAGATAACTTCATTTTATCATTGCTATCAGACTGTGATAAACAGAGAATCATGTTATTGTCAGTGGTGTTTTTAAATACAATATGACTGCTTACAGTTGTAATTATAACTTGTATGGTTGTATATATAGTTTGTAAAACTTTTTCTTGCTGATTTATAATTATTCTTTTAAGAATTTATAAACAAAATGGTGAAAACCCCTGGGGGTAATGTAGGGTAAAGGTGGGAGGGTATCTATTTATCTGTGAATTAATGATAATTTATTTCGAGCTCACAGGGCTGGATTGACTGGGGGGGTCTAACATCCCCGGGTCCAATCTTTTGAAATGTGTCCCCCAATTTTTGGAGGGCCACTGGTTTGTCAGTTTTTACTGTTATGTGTCTACCCTCCATAAATAAAGAAGTTGATATAAATAATTAATAAAATGCCCAAATGCTGGAATTGCCAAACATGTGAATTTTTTGGGAATGTTGTGCAAAATTGTGGCCAATTCTATAAAGGTTATGCTGAAAAAAATTTTAATTAACCTCTTTTGCAAACAGCGGTTTGGGAAAAGAAACAATTACCCCTTTGCCAAAATTTTGCGAATAATTTTGGGGACCCAAAAGGGCGAAGGGGCCCAAAGTTCTGTATTCACCCTCCCAAAGATGTATCGGTTGGCACGGCCCTGCAAGCACAATACAATTGTGTTTTGTGTGAGCCAGAAAATAAATAAATCTCACCAAAACATGTCTTTTTGTGTGATAAATGATGTCTTAATAAAGAATGTTTAATAGAGAGGGGGCTCAACAATTTTTTCATCTATATGGGGGGGGGGGTTTAATAGGGAGATTACAGTAGCAAACTCAAAGCTTTATTGCAGGTTTTGATCATGGGCATACCAGAAGGAAAAAATTAGGGGGGTGGAAAGAAATTTGCCCAACTTTTCGGGATTGTGGCCGACTAGTGCCGAAAAAAAATTTTCCGGAAAAATTATTTTGGCGACCAATTATTTTGGCGACCCATTATTTTGGCGACAAAATTGACTGAATTTCCGACAAAATTGACAGAATTTTTCCAATTTATTTTTATAATTTAACAAAATTTCCCGACTGTTGATCGAATATTGCCCGACTGCCCAACAAACTGGGGGGACTACCGCCCCCCCCCCCGCCCGGTACGCCTATGGTTTTGATGTATGATGCAACTACCTGGATTTAAGTAAGTCTTTGTTCAAAATGAACAAATTGATTCTCATTTTTTCAAATGGCTATGTACATTGTACACTCAAGCCTGCAAATTTTATATGGGAGCATCTGATATGGGAGCATCTGATATGGGAGTATCTCTGTTGCTAAGACAAGGATCAACATGTTTAATTCAAGTTTGGACCAGAGTTCAGTTGACCAGTAACTGAACAAAAATTTCAGCCAGAGCTGGAAGTGATTTTATTTGACAATTTATAGCCATATTTATAGCCATTCCTATATAATACAATTTATATATAGTACAATTTATAATCTGCCTGGCATATATTTTCCAGGTTTTAACCTAAACTGAGATCCAGTGGGGAGTGGACCCCTACAAACTATCTTATTTACTATCAACTGCACACTGGCACACAATAATTAAGAACGGAAATTATCAAGCCAAAACACCATTGCCCAGAAACCTAGGTAAAAATTGTGTTACCAGGTCGAGTGCCCACAGCACCATGTTGGATTCTCCCGGCACCCTTTCAGCACCCTCATGCCACTTTCAACTTATCGCCAAAATCAACTCACAAGTTAACTGTGAATGATTCCATGCTTCCATGTATTAAAAGTGGGGGAGAATGACGATTGGTTGAAAACACTGGCAAAGGTTATGTTGCTCTTGCAATGAATGGAAGAGGCCTCAGCTTTATATGACATGTTAAGTTGGTACATAAGTTTCTTGACAAAACACTGATTTCTTTGACACCCTAGATCCCTCTTTTAAAGATAGTAGCACATAGTAGTTTCATGCATGTCTTCACACCTGTAAATAAAAGTTTATACTCAGTTTATACTCTTGCTTTGATACAAATAAAAGTTTATACTTAGCAAATCTGAATAGTATGAAATTCAAGCATGTTAAATTTGAACCCTTTGCGTTTGTCGGTTTGTGGGAGGAAATGTGAAACGACAACACATAAATAATCGTAGCTAAAATATTCACTATATTGTACAAAGCTTCTCATGCTAAAAAATAAATGCATATTATATTGTTTTTCAAATAGTATTATTACCTGGACTTTAAAAACTGCGCTTCTTGCTTCAAATATCGTCTTTGCCAACATTTTGCAAGGCGTTTGTTGTCTTTCCCGGATGTTTACGAGTTGTACTTCTTTGAATAGATAGTCGCAGGTCGAAAAATATGTAAAAAATCTCAAAAACAACGAGAATTCACTGCAAAAACTCAAAAAAACCATCAATATTTTTGAAAAAACCAGGGGGGGGGGGTAAAAACTGTAGAGGGCTCAGAAATGAGCCTGGTCAGTGGTATTTTCATGGCCAAAAGGAACCAGTTGCCATGGAAATGGCGTGAAAATCCGCCATGTTTTTGGCTTCACTTTTTTATCCCGAGCACGTCCTCCAGTAATATAGTATAGCTCAGTGGCTAAAACTCAGCGCGTTGTGCTCAGCAGGTTGCGTTTGACCGAATAGCACCATTTGCTGCAATGTGCAAAAATAATTTTTTTCCAACATTTTGTCATATCTCACGAACTATTGGACCAATCGAGCTGAAACTCAGCGCGTTGTGCTCAGCAGGTTGCGTTTGAACGAATAGCACTATTTGCTGCAATGTGCAAAAACAAATTTTTTCCAACATTTTGTCATATCTCACGAACTATTGGACCAATCGAGCTGAATGGCGTGAAAATCCGCCATGTTTTTGGCTTCACTTTTTTATCCCGAGCACGTCCTCCAGTAATATAGTATAGCTCAGTGGCTAGAACTCAGCGCGTTGTGCTCAGCAGGTTGCGTTTGACCGAATAGCACCATTTGCTGCAATGTGCAAAAATAAGTTTTTTCCAACATTTTGTCATATCTCAGGAACTATTGGACCAATCGAGCTAAAACTCAGCGCGTTGTGCTCAGCAGGTTGCGTTTGACCGAATAGCACTATTTGCTGCAATGTCCAAAAATAATTTTTTTCCAACATTTTGTCATATCTCACGAACTATTGGACCAATCGAGCTGAAACTCAGCGCGTTGTGCTCAGCAGGTACGTTTGACCGAATAGCGCTGTTATTTTCGAAATTATTTTGTCATATCTCACGAACTATTGGACCAATCGAGCTGACACTCAGCGCGTTGTGTTCAGCAGGTTGCGTTTGAACGAATCGCACTATTTGCTGCAATGTTGTCATATCTCACGAACTATTGGACCAATCGAGCTGACACTCAGCGCGTTGTGTTCAGCAGGTTGCGTTTGAACGAATCGCACTATTTGCTGCAATGTTCAAAAATAAGTTTTTTCCAACATTTTGTCATATCTCAGGAACTATTGGACCAATCGAGCTAAAACTCAGCGCGTTGTGCTCAGCAGGTTGCGTTTGACCGAATAGCACTATTTGCTGCAATGTCCAAAAATAATTTTTTTCCAACATTTTGTCATATCTCACGAACTATTGGACCAATCGAGCTGAAACTCAGCGCGTTGTTCTCAGCAGGTTCCGTTTGACCGAATAGCGCTGTTATTCTCGAATTTGCAAAAATAAGTGTTTTCAACATTTTGTCATATCTCACGAACTATTGGACCAATCGAGCTAAAACTCGACGCGTTGTGGTCAGCAGGTTGCGTTTGAACGAATAGCACTATTTGCTGCAATGCGCAAAAATAAGTTTTTTCCAACATTTTGTCATATTTCTCGAACTATTGGACCAATCGAGCTGAAACTCAGAGCGTTGTGCTCAGCAGGTTGCGTTTGACCGAATACCGCTGTTATTCTCGAAATTGCAAAAATAAGTTTTTTCAACATTTTGTCATATCTCACGAACTATTGCACCAATCGAGCTGAAACTCAGCGCGTTGTGCTCAGCAGGTTGCGTTTGACCGAATAGCGCTGTTATTCTCGAAATTGCAAAAATAAGTTTTTTCACCATTTTGTCATATCTCACGAACTATTGGACCAATCGAGCTGAAACTCGGCGCGTTGTGCTCAGCAGGTTCCGTTTGACCGAACAGCACTATTTGCTGCAATGTGCAAAAATAAATTTTTTCCACCATTTTGTCATATCTCACGAACTATTGGACCACCAATCGAGCTGAAACTCAGCGCGTTGTGCTCAGCAGGTTGCGTTTGACCGAATAGCGCTGTTTTTCTCGAAATTGCAAAAATAAGTGTTTTCAACATTTTGTCATATCTCACGAACTATTGGACCAATCGAGCTGAAACACAGCGCGTTGTGCTCAGCAGGTTGCGTTTGACCGAATAGCGCTGT